ATGATTTGCAGCGAGGGAAAGGGTGGAAGCAGTGTGACTGTGAAACTGTGTGTGTGCATGTGTGTGTGTGTGAAAAGCTAACTGTGGGCGTGTGTGTGTGTGTGTGTTGTATAGCTGATGTGCAGAGTTCAACATTAGGCCTTAGAACCAATTTCTAGGCAAATTGGTTTCATTTAAGAATGAGATCACAGAGTAAGCAAACCTCTTTCAGGCAAGTTCATGCATCTGTAGCCATTTATTTCAGTTTTATATGCACTGCTTGGCGCAAGCTGCTTGTAGGTAGAATATGCATAATCTTAGCCATGGGCACAGTGCTACAGTTAACATGTTCACATTTACCTGTTATTACCATGAATTTAAATAGTTTCTTCCATTTTATTGCATTCTGTCACAAAGAGCTTCAGCAGTAATTTAGCATTTTGTTTTCTATCCTCCCTCAAGCTCTGCAGCAGAATTGGTGCTAATCAAAGCCACATGTAACTAATTGCTCTCTCCAGTCTCTTGCTCATAGCACAAACAGGTCCATTAGCCATCAATAGAACATATGTTGGAGTTTGTGAGAGGCGATAAAAATCTGCTTAGTTTCAAGAGGTATAATAGTCACTTGACCATTATGAACACACATTTTCATTTATCTCAGGTAACGGTGATTTTCACATTTTGAAACAGATGTGGCTCTTTGAAGGCAAAAAATATATATTGAATACTAATTAAATGACGAGTTCAAAGTATCATACCACAACACACCCACCAAGCGATTTTCTCCTACCATTTACAATAAAAGTGTAATTGAGAATGTAACCTTATTATTTTTAAATCCACCAACCTTCAGCTATAGTGTCGGCCCTTAACATCTGTTCTCTGTTTTTACCAAAATAATAATCAAACAAGTTCCTTTGTATAGCAAGTTACTTTACATCATAAAAACACATGCACACACACAAAACAATTGTGTTCTTCAATCAAATTTCATCAATTTCAGCTACAAGTCTTACAGAGTACAAGTCTTACTAATATGTAGTTTGGCCATACTTGTTCTACTTTCAGATGATGGATTTCACAGTGCTCTTTGAGATACTCAAAGTTCAAAACCTGGACCTTCTGAAGGATATTAAAAATAAGCTTTTAATGTTTACAAAAACAAAAAACCATTTACTAGTAGAAATGTGTCCATGTGAGACGTTCAAAGCAAAACTTCAACAATTTTTATTATTTTTTTAAAATTGTACACACTTTGAACCACAGTTTGTGTGTTAGTAGTAATTTGAAAAAGTGTCCTTGGAAATCTAAAGTTCTGGTTGGTATTTCTTGTTCATCTGATTTGGGGTCAGTTTTACAGATTTTATGATTGAAAAGTTGGATATTAAATTTGAAGGTTTACTCATCCCACACTGCCACAGCAATGCTAAAATATTATGTCAAGAAAATTTTAAATCTACATAAAAATGACTTTGGTCGGTATTCAGTTCACTTGAAAGAGTAAATAAGACTGAAATAGTTCATTGTCATTTAAAAAGCATTAGGTTTTCTTTAAATGAAGATCCTTTGACATCCAACCAACATCATTAAAAAGCAAAATATATAAGTTTTTGTCTGAGACAGAATGAGATAAATATGAAGAATGCCAACTCTCCTTATTGCAATAAGAAACTGATTTGCTGAAAACGCATGGAAAAACTGTGAGGACCTGTTTTGCAGATAATTATCAGCATTTCGCATATGGCAATGATCAAACTGATTACAAGCCAAGACTTGGACACTTTGCCAATTCAGGAAAGAACCCAGCAGGACGTTACTTTCAGTATTACCTGTTGTAATCAAAAATGCATCGCCTGCTATCAGTTTCTTCTCCCAAAGTGCTCTCAACCATAAAATTAAATTTGGTATAATTAGGACTGCAGAAATGCTGATGGTTCTAAAACAAAACACAGAAACACCAGTTTTGTGCAGAATTTTGGCAGCTTATCCACCTATCTGGTCTATTTGCGGTTTCTACTCCGCACGCACCCTTTATGACCATGCTCCGCTGACAGCTGCCCCTATGTCAATATGAACGCCTGTCAGGAGAGATTATACATCACATGAATCGAGGCAGATAATGAGCAAGAGGGAAGGGCACTTTTTAACACCCCCTCGGGTGCTACACATGACACCAGCCAAGCTAATTAAGCAGATGCCATAATGCAGTAATCAGGAACACAGGAGAGGTTGGAGAATTCGCCAACTTTAGTCATAACAGCGCAACATTTGCTGCTCAGGAACTTCTCAACCAACACTAGCAGATGGGAATGCCAAACTGCAGTGGATGTGTATTTATGTGTGTGAACACACAGGTGTGCTCCATGTTTTCTAATTTCTCATGCACTTTGTGAATTATGTGTACATGGACTTGTTATATTTTATGGAGACAGACAGACTCATAGTATGAGCAATACAAAAATCAGTGCTCTGAGTTCTCATCAACATAAAGCTGAGGACAGTGTTACCTGGTGAGGTTTTTCCTCATTATTTTTTAGCGAAATGAGCAATCAGGCATATTGCATGAAGCCTGATTGTTTCCCTCTGTAAATCAGGAATTGCAATTAAAATGTTCTCTTATGTGGTATAATTGATGGCGGCCTAATCCTTTATTTGCACACCTGCCAGTGAGTCTGAATTTTTAATGAATTTCTAATTAATGCTCTTTGCACACCTCATTTATGTGTTAGCGAATTATATTGCTGTTCTGTGTCCTGCTGGTAGTGGAGCGCCTGCAGGATGCCGCACCTGGTTTGAAACATAAAATTTTTCTGCTTTCTCCAAAAAGAAAAAAGCCAACAAAGTATAGTGTTTAATAACGGATGAAGAAAAAGGATGTTAAACATTTTAAAGGCGTTGTCCATACATTCAAACCCACATTTATTTATAAATTATGTGAAGCTTAAGTTCACAAACATAGATGATTGAGGCTCTTAGGCTATTTGAAAGGCAAATGATTTGTGATTTCATATATATATATATATAAATCAAATGTTTATCAAAGGTATATAAGCTCATATCTTCATCCTCATATCTTCATCTTGAAGATATGAGGGTTTATAAGGGATATGAGCTCAGTTCACAGAATTAAAGAACTAAACGAATGTTTGTGTGGATAAAGCTTCCTTTACAGTATAAAGGAAGCTTATACTGTAAAGAACTTTAAGAAGTAAAAAAGGCATAATATATGTATAATATATAAAAGCAGGATTTTTAACAATGCCTGTTTTTATTGGATTGTGCAGATATATGCGTCCTTTTATCAAATTTACATTAACTGAATTAATTGACCATGAGTTTTCAGCACAAGTCTGACCTTACCCCTGAGATCTGCTTGACAAGGACTGTCAGACTATGTGAAGGGAATCTTTTAACTGCATTTAGTCACTTTTTGGTCTTCATGTAAAATATTGGATCCTGATTTTAGGGTCTGGACCACCTTGTGGGTGGCTTAATACCAAACCGTGGGCTGGAGATAATTTCCAGGAGTGAACCTCAATTAATGTGGTGGAGTGCAAGTGGATGTAAACACTATTCAACACCAATAAAAAATCTGTATCGGTTGAGGCTGTTCATTATATTGTGCTTTAATTGGCTTATTACAATGTTCCCCTTTGTCAGCCAGCGCTCTCTGAGGTCACAAGTCTGTTGGTGGAAAAGTTGAGGATTTTTGGAACCAGCGGTGAATAAAATGTTTGAGCTCTGGAAATTTGTAAATCCTAGTGAGCTTAATTTCTACTAGTGCCTATCCAGACTGTTACAGCACACACTCAATATGAACAGCAATAAGATTGTTGTTTCTTCTCTCTAAATGTTATGGGTTTTCACACTGTAAAAACATTGCAAATATTTTACTCAACAGGTGTGTTACTCACGCTAATGGCTTTGTTTCCCATTTGGCTGTCACATGTCATGCTTGTTTTTCTATGCAATATGTAATAATGCAAGAAGGTAACTGCACGACCCAGTAAGAAAACTCATTCTATTGGCAGTGGGAAACCCTACATCAAAATGTGCACATAGTTATTTAATGTATGACTACGATCAGCTGGTATAACAAAAAAAAACTAAAAGTTAACAGCTCATTCAAGGTAAGTTGTGTGTTTACGAGGTAACTGCCTCGATTAAAATTTCGGTGAATCCCTTGGATATTTTATGTTTAATATGTAACTAGATATAGTTTTCCCAAAATGTTAACTGCCTTCCTACAAATTAATCAAAAATGTATTGGACAAATACAAGTTCAAACTTCAGAAAAGGTACTATGTCCTGCCTTAAATTGCAGGTTAAATGTTAGGTTCACTTAGCTAATTGTATCATATTAGCATTAGCTTTGCAAGGTTTTTTCAGTCAAGTTTAACTGATAAAGCTATACATAATGTGCCAACTTAGTGGATTATCTTTTGATGGATCATGATTATTTGACAGTGCATTGGTTCCTGTTGCGTTTATCAGAAATAACCTCATCAGATAAACAGACGGTGTCATGCATCTCTATTTAGAGTCTTCTGGGAAAAGGACTTTTTAAATACAGCTCTGCGCTTCTGCTCATGATGAGTTTGAGTGAGCTCTAACTCAATGAGCGTTTATTTTCCCCCCTCTAATTTATTTGCTGTTGCATTTCATTTCCAGGCCAATTCACCCTGATAATCAGATGGCAATTAGTGAAGCATGAATCACAGAGAAGCTGCTCAGCTTATCTCACTTCCCGACACCTGCATGCTCACAACAACACAGTTTGGAGAATCATTCTTTTATTCCAAATAAAATCGTACTTACTTCATTTTTAAACATTTCCAATTCCATCAGAAGCTTGCAAAATGTAATAAAACCTTTAATGCATCACAAGAGATGTTCAAATATATCCATCTCTTGCAAGGCTTCTATAACATTGTCATTCTTTGATATTTGATTTTATCAATACATGGGCAACTTCCCTCAACAACTTTGGTTTCAGTAGGAGGAAAAAAAAACTCACTATGAACATTTAGGAATCTTTAATTCACACTAGTAATAAAATTGCATTACATTTCATAAAATAAATGTTCCAGTTTATATATACAGAGAAAACAGACTGTACATACCCTCCAGTGAACCATTTCTAAAAGAAAACAGAAAACCTTAAACAAATTTCACAAAACATACAAGCAATACAGTGCTCAGCTTAGCAGGCACAACTGTACATCAAAATTTGTAACTGCTCAGTGTTGGGGTTGGGGGCTTGGTGCGGTGTGGAAGGGGCAAAAAGTTGAACATTTACAACAAAGTCCTTGCGGTGGGGGAAGGAGAGGAGATGATAAAGAGGATTTAAAAAGTATTGCAGGCAAGCAGACAGACGCTTGTCTTTTTCCAAGTGCAGCAGAACATCCATCTTGTGTGTAACGTGTGGAGCTGATTGTGGCTGCCATGAACTATTGAACCTGCGTCTCAAAGCTGCCGTTCAGCTGGCCCTCCTCATAGTCCATTTGACACAAAATCATGTTGTTTTTTAGGAAAAACTTGTCCCCCACGCAAAACCTGTTGGAAGACAGAAACAGGGGGTTATGAATACAACTGCTGCTGGGGTCATGAGATAAATGTGGCTTGAAGGGCAGCATTTGAGTTTGATTGGTAATGATGATGTTTGTTTGATTAGAGGCATTCAGATGAAGATGTTTTTCATCAAGCACCTTTTAGGGGCCAGTTTGATGGTCATCATAAATGTGGGCCTTCAAATAAAATGAGATTATAAACCAATCCAGTTTGAAAGCAAACAGACAGGAGAACTGGCACCCGATGAAAAGCAGGTCAACTCTCTTTTGGTGGAACGGTGACGTTGCCGCGGGAGTCTGCGAGGAAGCCCTGCCACGGGGTGAGCTTTTTCAGAGACAGTTTGGCTGCAGTGTTCAAAATCATTTTTCCTCAAAAGTCAGAGTCAATTGAAGAGTGAAAATTACACACAGCAGCCTGTCCCACTGATGTTCCCTCTCTGCGCTGCTGTTTGTTTGCGTGACACTTTGGAAACAGCTCCATAATGTGACTGAAAGGGAGCGGAGATAAGAACATAGCTGAAAATAGCTTGGCCTCAGTAATATGCCAGGCTGGTAACACGGTAAATAAAGCTGGTAACAGTCACAGCCATGGCAATGCTGTGCCAGATGAGCCCTGGCTTCATATATCTGCCAGCTGAGAAGAGAGACTGGAGTCATAATTCCCTTACAGCAGGTGTTCACTATGGTAACTGAATCTGGCCTGCAGAAGGTTAATGGGCTTGTGCTGTGTGGAGGAACAGGGTCGCGGCACTCGCGACAAGCATGCAAAGGATGCTCCACTCTCATACTGCTGCCATTACTGACAATATATTAATGGGGAAAGGCAATATTAGGGTATGTCATATTCCATGTACATCATACCATAGGCTTTGTGCTCATTCCAATTTTTCCCATTGGTCGCTGTCCACCTGGAAATACCGTGTTACACATGCACTCCTCATTTTCTCCTTATATGCAGCAAGATGTGTCCCTTTGTAGTGTCTGAACTTTATACATAAGAACAAGAGCTAATTTTACATTCCGCTGGCTTTAAAGATTTACATATCGAGCCACAAATGGGGACAGACTGCTGGCAGCATGTTATAGTGAAAATAATTAGCAGGGTATTACAAATGCACAACATAATTAGACAACCAAAATTTATCTTTTTTCTAGATTTACAAGCTGCTTGATGTAATGCAACTGAACAAACAAAAAAACATGTACTAGAAAACCTTTGCTTTCTGTACAAGATGCCCTAAAATATAGATTATGAGCCTTTTTCCTACTCCATTCATGGTTTGTTTGAAATGCATTGTCGTTGCAGGTATGATTTCCGTTCTTACCTCTGGTTACAAAGCTGACAGGCAAAACAGTCCAAATGGTAAACATTATCTCTGGCTCTCATCACCATTTCAAAGGCTGGGATCAGTTTACTGCAGGCTGCACAGTTCCCCGTTGTACCAAAGAGCCTGAAAGACAGACAGAGAGAAAAGACAGAGAGATTAACATACTTTCCTTTTAAACTTCATGCCGTGAAATGCAAACAAATGTGCAGCATAACAACTGCAAAGAAAAGGATAAAATATGATATGATGGAGCATAGAGAATGCACAACATGCCTGTTTCTTGGCATCCTATCAGTAGTTTTGTTACAATTACAACAAAAGGATGTCTAAATCTGACTACAGATCAAATGTTTTAGTTATCTTTAGAGAAAAGCTGAAATTGTTGAAAACCTGTTTCAAATAATCTAACTTTTCAGTTTCTAACCATAAACAGGCTTCAACACAAAGGCAAACTGCAGAATATGGCCATTCATTTCCAGAATATGGCCATTCATTTCCAGAGGTTTTCTGTTGCTCAACCCATTCTCCTCAGCTCCATATTTCCTTTGCTGTTATCTATGAAGAGTTGCCTGAATTTTTAAAAGTGAAAATAACAAAATGAAATCTTGCATACGTCTAGTTAGGCTTATTAGATTGGAGCCAAATGATAAAGGTCATAAACATGAACAGAAGAGATTCTTATTTCATCAAAGAAAGAGGGGGGCTTAAAAACTCAAATGCTATTCCCAGACAGATTTACATTTTCATTTTCCATGTGCCTGCCCTTATGTTTAATTTGGAGATTTTGGAGCCCAGATAGATTTATATATTCTGCAGCAGAAGAAGGTCCGCTTCACAGCTTTGCAAGAGAGCTTAAGAACAACTGCAGATCGTTGTTCCAGCAGTATGTTAAACACTCCTCCTCAAACGTGTAAGGCTCAGACAGATGAGTCAGTATGTTGATATTCGGCCTAGTTTATGCTTGTCCCATTCAGTTTCTTTCACCTTGTTAGGGAAAATGTATTTCCAGCAGCTCTGCTTCTAATTAGGGGCCACTGCCCCAGAGGAGCAACAGAGACCGAAACAGAGGGAGAAAGGTTGTTATGTTCCATGAGAGGGATTCACAGGGTGTTAAACTGAGATATTGTTACATTTGGTTATTCCTTCAGTGAAAAAAAAAACAACAACTCTTCAGTGTTCTCATACAGTAGGCATCTGCCACCCGCAGGCTGCTCTGAAACACAAAGAATGTGTTTTTCTCCTGTGAGACACAAAGACTTCTGCTTAGTCAGGCGTCTGAGGAAATTCTCAGCATTCAGTATTGATCCAAAACCCCAAAATTTCAGTGTCACAAAAGTTGACTCATGATATTCTAACAATTTTTGAGATGAATGTATCAAAACAGTCACAGCTGAAAACAGATTTTGATATAACCTGCGAAAAAAAAGGCATTAACATTTATTTTCCTCAGATATTCAATAACATGAAACCTTTTTTTTGTATTACATCAGTGAAGTTTGCAAAACTTGCGTCCAATTGCTTATTGCCAAAATAATGACATTATTTTATTATTTTACCTTCCTCAGTCAGAAGCCGACATCAATTTTCTTGATGTTTGACAGAATTACCTTCAAACTATGTGACTTGGGTAGAACATTTTGGTGTTTTTCCACAGTCATCCCATCACAGTTTGCTGGAATGTTGGCCCATTCCTTCTGACAGAACTAGAAGAATCAGATTTGTTGGAAACTTTGCTCACACATATTATTTTAAGGCTGTGCCAAAAAAAAATTTGATAAGGACTTTGTGTTGGCCACTCTAAAATATTGACTTTATTGTCCTCCAAACATTTTGTAACTAGCTTGTCAGATTGGGCTTACTATGTATGTGGATGACTCATGAGGTCCCAGTCTGTATCTTGACTCATGTCTTGCGTTGTTGTTTCACTTTTATGATTGTGTGGTGCCTTGTGTTTTTGTACAGCACCCCAGTTCCTCCTGCAACAACTATGAAATTATCTCTGGACTTTTCAACACACTTAAGATACAGGTATGTAAACTTCTGACTTGGAAACAAAAAGTAATAAAATGTGTTGGGGGGAATTCTCAATCATTTAACATGTAGCAAGGAGAAATGATTTTGCTCATTGTAACTTGTCAAAAACAGGACAAAAAGGATGACTTTTTATAAAGCGTACTCACAATACTCACAATACACACATTTTTTTTCTGTTTGATGTAAACTTTTCACTCGACAGAGATAAAACTCACAATTACTTTGTTTATTGAAAGTGTTCCAGCAATGTGAACAAGCCGAGTCTCATGAGTCAGCAAACAATTGCACAGTTTGAGGTTGCTGGGGCAGTTACAATAATAAGTGGACAGCAGTTGTTTGTTGGTACCGCTGTGTTTTTGAAGTACAAAACTGGACAAAAGACTTAATCTATGAACTTTAATGTATGAGGAAAAATAACTGTGATCTTCAGTATAAGAATGACGGTTAAAACTGTTGTGTGACAACACCCTCTCCACCCCCCTTCACTCTCTACTTCCTTTTCTGAGAGGGGAGATGTGCTACCAGCTCTCTAACAAGTGAATTGAGTTTCCTGAATCTGCTGGGATTTACCCTGTCCAGAACTGAAGTAAACTCTGTTTGAGCTGGCATCGAAAAAGACACACCTGGTTTCTGATGATCTCCATCCCGATGTCCCACCCTTCTTCCCCCTGTGAATTAGCCAGACTGAGCAGCCTGCAGCCAACTAGTTTCACAGAGCACACCTGTTAATGATCGCTCTTTCTCTTTATTACAACTTGCACTTGTTACTGAACCAGGTTGGTTTTAGTGACTCGGGCGAGTCCCAAGGATGTTATTGTACATCTAGTTTTGGGCTACAAGCAACCAATAAAACATTTTCTACTTTTTCTTCCCCAGAACAAAACATTATAGCTATTATACAACCATCAAAGAACTTTGAAGTGACTCATTAATTGAATGTCCACAACATCTTTTAGATTTTCTTTATGCCAAGTATTTTACTAGTAAAGCATTTTTGCAAAGGTTAGTACAGCTTAATTCAGTAGCAGAAATAATCAAATAAGTAAAATCAATCATCTAGCCTATCTTTCCCTAACACTGACACTAAGAACTAAAAAGGAATCTTTGAGAGAGACGGACAGAGTAATTTCAAACCCCAGAACTGGTCTGATGATGAAAAAGGTGTTGCAGCAGGAGAAGGTTGATCGATGCAGTTAGGGATCTCTGTTGGTCTGATGAGCTCTCTTTGTCTTTGTCTTTGCCTTGGTCTTTGTCTTCGGGGTCTGAACCCAGCTGATTAGAGAAGTGCGATTTGAAGCCACATGTTGCGGGACTGAAGGGTTGGTCCCCATGCATAGGACAGTCTTTGGCTCTGTGGCCCTGGATCTTCTTCAGCTCCAGAGTTCTTTGTCCATCTTGATCTTGGCTCAAAGCTGCCTGGAGAATCCTACCAAAAATTCCTCTTTTGCACTCACCTTTTATAGGGTTTATCCACCCCTATGACGTTTGCATTGGTTAGCACCATTGCTGTGCTTGTTTCATTGGCTGTCTCCTTGGACAGATGATCTCATATCCATCTTGTCTTAGACATTACGTCCTGATGTCAGTTCTACTGACCCAGGGTTGCTCAACGGTCCTCCTATGTCTATGTCTTGTGCACAACCTTTCTTTGAAAAGTCAAAGTTGTTCAACAATCTGTTTCCAAGTAAGGTGTTAGTCATCTGTGCCCTCCTGTTAGTTCCCCTTTTCCCCCTAACCTTTCACCTACCATCAACCTCCAATACATCATCAGTGATCTTTAATTGCAGTTACACGTTTTACACCATTTCAAGTTCAATGTTACAATCACATTCATAACCCTTTGTTACTTTGATTTAGCATTCATTTATAATATTATGATAACCATAACTTATTAGTTACTCTTATAATCTCAATGTGAGTTATTACAGATGTTTTCTGAAAAGAAACCAAGAATAAGTTATTATTGTAATTATTTTATACCAAAGTTAGTTACTTATTTTACTTGTAAGTGTTCCCACAAGTGTAAGTATTCTTGCAAGTAAATCAATATTAATATACGTATTTTACTTTGAATCTCATCCAATTACTCAAAATGTTTGAATTTCATTCTTTAAAACTTTCATGCTTTGAAATAAGGAATAATTTAATCTATTTTGATAAATCTTCAGGTTGGAAAACTTACTTCCTCTTTGTTCAGGAAACCTGCTCTTCCTGTCTCATTTCTCTGTCTGACTATGATTTTTTATGGTTGGATTAAAAAGTAAGTATAGTTTGCAAGAGACAAAAACAACACACACAACCAGATTTATTTTATTGAAGTTTAAGTCTAGATGTCACTTGTGATTAATTTTAAAGGTAACTTTATTTATCGTTACTGTTGAACTTAACTCTCCAGCATGGGGAAGTGGATTGATCTTGGGTTTTCTTCAAAAATATCTAACAAATTTCCAAGTAATAAACTGTAAAAAGCTCAATTTGTAAAGTCGGTGAACTTTTTCGTGTTGGAACATCTTGGATTAGGAAATGAGCAATTCTATAATATATAATGAGTGTTGCACATCATTGAAATATCTTCAAACATGAATAAATTCCCCCCAAAATCTAAGCTCCATCAAGTAATTAGAAGCACTGCTGTTAAATTCTTTCATTACACGTACTTTAATTGCATCTTTATTGAATGCTGCTAGTTGTTTCTAGTTGTATCTTCGATTTACCTCCAGTCTGATGGCTTGACTGTACTGAGCTGGACGACCAGTGGAGATGTATTTTTATTTCCCTCAGGGGAAAAGGGCTCTAGAAGAACCTGGAGAGTTTGGGTCAGTTACAGAGACTGCTATGCAGACACCTATTATACCCAGACAGATTATTGTGACCTGTCTCTATCACAACCTGCTGGGTTGCAGACATGGTGTTCACTTGATACATATGACTTGTGAAAACCCCAGATGGGGAAAGTCCAGCTTGCTGAAGTTATACTTCCATACACAGCACTCTGCCACAGATTTGGGGTAATTGTCACCTTGCAGCTTCTACAATCATTCAGCACAGTGTTTTTTTATTTTTTTTTTGGGAGGGCTTTTTTCAACACG